ATTTATATTAAACATTCCTTGGATTGATATTGGGGTTATAGTGAACGCTTTTACTATCATCATATGATTTTGGCATTTCTTGAGGGGCTACTAATTCCAGTTCACAACCCTTCGGTGAATAGGGGTGTATTCTACGTAATTCCATTTGAGTCAAACTGTCCAACACCCAAAAATATGTCACGTGAATTTTATTTTCTTTGTTGCTCTTCTTGTCGCACACAATGTATTTTGCTTGCTTTCGATGTTGGACGACTCTGCCGCCTCCTAACTCAATTAACTCTTCCAAATCATCTTTAGATATATTATGACATTCCGATGACACAAAAAATGGTTCCAGTTCTGAAAACAGTTCGCTTCTATACTTTTTACCAAATGCTTGTCGTTCTGCACGACAGATCTGAAAATATATAATATACACTCGTTTAAATAGGTTATATATGTGTAAGTCATATAATACATATGTCTAAATATGCCTATATTTTAGGTAGTACTAAATTGGCTGTATACAAGTACGTACCCATGCCAATTAAATACAGTTCTCCTTTCGGATTAGTAAAATTTGGATCAATTTAAAAAAAGAAATAGTAAAATAAAAATAATTAATAATAATATTGAAAGGGGAGGGGATTGTTTGAGAATAAGAGTGATTTATGGATGGGTGGGATTTTTATTGAAGTTTATTTTGGTCAATCTAAGTCAATCATTGTTTGAAAATAAAGGTGATTTATGGTTGGGTGGGCTTTTTACGAAACTTCGTTTTGGTCCATCTAAGTTAATGATTTTTTTTAATGATACTCGTATGATATAGAAAAATATGTGTAACAAAGAAAATTATTTGCGTTAATACTTTGCCTAAGCTTTTATACTCCTAAGTTTAGGTTTAAAAGTCGTATATCTATGTTTTCATCAATACATACACTCGAAAACGATTATTGCCCTTTGTGGTTTACTACCCTTAATACAGTTGTATTATAAATCAACCAATGGCGAATCTGCTGGGTAATATTTACCTACGGGATCTTTAAAATCTTGTTTGGAATATTATTAAAACCAGTAAGAATGCTAAGAAATGCTTAGCATTCGCCCCGTTAGTCGAATGCTAAGAAGGCAAAAGCAGTCTTTATCATCAAGAAAAGAAATCAAACATTTCAAAAAGACTAATTGCCAATGACAAGTCTATGGAATGGGAAGACAAAGTAAATTATCTAGGTCTAACGTTAAACAAAAAACTGAAATGGAAGGAGCATATAAGTGAAAAGTATATATTATATAACGTAACGTGACCTTCGCGTCAGTTTTCTTACATAGTAAACTGAGCACTAAATATAAAGTACTGATCTATGTATATATACGCGTTTGAAAATTCATTACACACAACATTAATTACTTTTAGACGTATCAATATCAGGTGTATGATGTCAGAAATAATGACATTCACAGAGAATAGAACACATGCAATAATATATATAGAATAAAGGTATGAAACTACATATTTGCTGAAATAAACTTCTTAGGAAAGAAGATATCTTTTGCCCACTTATAAAATCTTATTATATAAACCTAAAAACAACAATAGTATAAAATAATACTACTACAGATATTTTAACGACCCCAGTGGTACTTCAGCAGAAATCAGACAAAAAACGGAATAAAAGTGCTGTTTGGCACTATATCCGCATAGGCACGCTGGGAGTGTTTGGACTAGGAGTCCTTTCACTATTGTATTTTATAATAGGTTACAAGTTTTATAATGTGTCGGTATTGTACAATCTACTGAAGTTAGAAGTATTTAGTTAAAAAAGTACCTTAATAGCTCTTGAAAATTCGTGTATTTCAAATGGTTCCTCGTACAGCCATTTACCAGCATTTAATGATTCATTTATCCAATCATATTTCAGTATCCAAAGGCCACGCACCAATCCACGCAACAGATTCAATGTACGTTTCGGGTCTGTCGTTATAATGTGTGTAGTCTCATTTGTAACTCGCTTCTCCAATTGAAAGCATCCAAGTTTCTTGATAGCCTAAAAATTAAAGTAATTATATATAATATAATATGTGTATATTATGTGTATATTTACAAATATGTTTAAGAAGATTTTTATTGTGGTTTAGTGTAATAAAACTTCAACTGTTACTGTTTGGTGCCAGTAACCGAAAATTATTCAAATTTAATCGAAGTTTGGCAGTGAGTTTTTTTTTGTGTTCTTGTTTTTGGAAAAAGTTTTATGGAACATGCAAATTGTCTATGAATCATAAAAAACATGCAAATCACATTTATGTGAATTAATTACTTTAAAGATATTTAATAGACATTAATGTGATATATAGATTTATTGTATGGAGGAGTAGAGCGAACTCTGTGTGGATGGCATGCGATGTAGGTGTACTTTTATTGGAATGGTATAAAAATTGTATTTATGGTATTTAAATCATATATTAATGTGGACGTGGTAATTAAATATTAATATTTAATTTCAGAGGTTTGTTGTTTTTATTAGAACCTCACAACTTCTTTAATATCATAATTAATTACTTAATATTTTAATAAATAAAATTCTTAGTACTGTTGCATCAAATCTTTTATATATATGTATATTATTTATAATTTTAAACAATTAAATTTGGAATTTGTTTCTCGACCTTGTTTTTTTAATAATGTTTTTTTATATATTTTATAACCGGTTACAGATCCTCTTTTTTAAATGAAATCTTTTTTTTAATATATTCTATATTTGGACTCTTTGAGAGTCAACATCAGGATAAGAATTAATTAATAAACATTAATTAATATTAATAAAATCTATATTTATTCATGTAATTGGTACCGTTGTAAATATTGCAACGCAAAATGTCTCATTATCATAGGTCTAACATTAAAAATATTTTTTGGATTTCTTTCCAAACCCATTCTTACAATATGAGCGCCCCATTGAAGTCCCTCTGCTTTCATGAAGCTTACTATATATTTTTGTTTTATTATAAGTTGTTAATGTCGTTATTTGTTCTTGATCTGTAAGTTAACTCTTATTCTGGCAGATTAATAGTTTAGATGAAAATTTTTCTTTTGAATATTTAAGAAGACTTTTTTATTAACTTTTATAGCTTTTATGTTAAAATATAAATTAAATATATTTTTTGTTATCATTAAAATTAATTTTATTCACATTTTAAAGTAACAATAAAATTTATGATTCCACGAGGTAGGATATATGCTCTTTCAAATACTATAATAGTATATTAGTACTATATAGTAATATATAAAATACTATTATTCTAATCCTAATATATAATTATCTTAAAAACTAAAGGTTATATCATTGTAATATCATTAAAATTTACTATTTCACAGAGGTAAAAATATTTGTTCTATTAAACCATATTTCATTATAATTAATAATAACCAAAAGATAACACATATTTATTAACTAATCGAATCGAATTATAACAAAAAAAAAAAAGAAGATTCCACTATATAAGGCTGTATTTAAGACTAATATTATTTATCAAGTACCTTTATGTACTATATGAGGCAATTACTTTTGGGTATGGTCTTAATTTGATCTTATTTTTAACGAGTTTATTAACCCCCAAGAAAGAGTAATGATTAAAAAGATTAATCACAATACTGATTAGTAGAAAAAATATATATTAACTATATCAACGAAAAATAAGTCATTGTTTTCAAGAACGACGATGTCTACGTTCCGAAATTAATCGTCTGTATAGATGACAAATCTCCGTTCACTTTCCAATGTAAACAAAAAGCACAGGATCTGAATGGCTACTAAAATGTTATACAAACGTTAATATTATAACAATATTTTAATTTCTTTTTTTATCTCTTTGTATCTCTTTGTAAGTTCCACAGGGTAATGGGTACCACATAATGTGAGTTTTAACTATAAGAAATGCTTTTACCTATTTATAATTTAAGCTTATCTGGCCCCAAGTTTTAATAAAGCTATATGCAGTTAGTGGATATGTTGGGTAGATGTTTCACTTAGCATTTCATAGAATCTACAGATACTGTTTATTAATTTTAGTCGATTTATCATAGAAAAAGTTGATAAATAAAACCGGGAAAAGTCACGACATCATTAAGAAATTGAAACTCAATATTGATTTAAAGTATTTTTATACAGTTGATTACAAAAACAAAGCTCGTTATTCAGCTGTTTCATGAAGAGTGTAAAATAAAGTAATGGGCCGAATTTGTATGTATGGATCGCTTTTAATATGTAATGAAATCTATTCATTTTTTAAGAATGATAAAAAGTGGATTTTTTATGGTCAAAAATTGACTTTTACAAATAATGGTGAAACACTGATTTACAATGTATGATATTTGTTGTTTGGTGGTATTGTAAGGGAATCATCTATTAATAGCTATTATCGCTTGACTGGGACCTGTTTCTACTTATTAGGGTTTCTTTTAACTAATGTAGTATTAAACCGCAGCATCAGAGGATATCTGTTGTTCAGACACTTTAATATATTTGTATATATTAGACTGCAAGTGTCAGGCATTGAAATTTGTTAAATATGGAATACAGATGTGTTAAATCACCTATTTAATGAATTTACAATTTTATCGTTTGCTGCTTTGCTTAATAACAATGCACTTATTCGATATTTTTAGTACAAACGCATAAATTACAGCTATATCAATGATTTCAACTATAATTTTTATTGGAATTGTAATTTAAGTTATTGATAATTTTTTATAAAAGTAATTATTGCTTTTTTGTTATTTATAAACTAAAAAATAAAATGATTGTAGTTAATTTATCCACTATAAATCGTCTTCAATTATAAATAAAGACTTTTTTCATTGAATATAAAAATTACAACAATATTAGTTCAAAAAAAAATGTGTTCAATTTTGTCTCAATATTATTGTCATTGCTAACTATTGAATGAAATCGAATATTGTCTTTTTTTTAGAATAAAGTATACATTTTATAATTCATTAATATTAATGTTTCGAAATTAACAATTAAGATTTAGTTTTTGATCAAATATTACATATATAACAATAGATATTTTTTTTACAACAATTAATTTAATTAATATAAAATTAATATTACATATACAATTATAATTACTAGTTTTGAAAAGTAAATTTCTAAATTTAATATAATTTTAAAATTTAACAACTAGGTTTTAAATAAATTGAAAGTATGAAATATACATGAAAGAATGATAAAACAAATATTTATATAAAAATAAAAACTGTAACATTAAAAAATAAAATTATAAATTTTTAAAAAAATAAAATAAATATTAAAAAAAAATACTAATTAAACAAAAAGTTTACTAAACGAAAATAGTTAAAAAAAAATAAAATTAATTGAAAAAAAATAAATAAAATTGAAATAAAAAAATATTAAAATAAAAAACAATAATTATTATATTAAAAAAAAAATTATTATATTGAAAAAAATTATAATATTGAAAATAAAAGAATAATTACAATAATAATACAAATATACTAAATTAATATATAATAATTCATCAAGAAGAAAAAGATATATATAATTCATAAAAGTAAATTGTGTGTTTTCTCTTCATTTTGTGTATTAAACTAATTTTTACATAAATAATTCATTTAAACAAATAATTGCATATATCTTCTTTAAAATATAATTGAAATATTGTGCTCTTAGCTTTTGCTTCACAGAAGCACATATTGTGTTAATTACAATTAATTGGGAAGCAATTAAGATATTCAACTAATAAAATATATCAACCCTGAGCTGCTTATTGTGCTTATATATATATATTTTATAATTAAATATTTAACATTGATGTGTTGAAATTCAATTTTTTTTAATTTTTGAACATAATCTGCTTTCATGTATTACAAGAAATTGTGAATTTTTTTATAAATTAATGAAGTTGTGGAATTTTTTTTTATTTATTATAATATAACTAGAGATAACTAAATCAGATATGTATAAGCATAAAAATTTTTAAAAACTTTTTAAAAGCTTTTTCTTGTACAAAAGAGCTTTCTCTCACATATTGTAACTAGAAAGGGATATTGCGTATTTGATTACTCATTTTTTTCTGACCATAAAAACTGTAACCAATATAATAAAGAAACTTTATTTTGTGTCCAAAGGTAGAAACATATTGGCGCTGGTCGTCATGATGTTTACTCAAAAATTGCTAAAACTATGCTCACTATTTCTAAATTATATATACATCTTATGGATCAAAGCTTTCTGACAAGAGCCACATCAGCATTCTTAATTAGTATTTTTTGCTTAATATTGTTTAATACCGCTGCTATTGACGCTTGTGAGTGAGCTTCCCCCAATTAGAGTTTATATGCATTTTAAAAGCGGTATATGTATTTTTAGTACTTCATGAGTAAAAGCTTTGTGACGGACATCTTTATATACCTATACTTTTAAGCGAGGCCCTATGCTCCACTTAGGAGAGAAGGACAGCAGTAAGTAAGTATACCTTTAAACAAATATAACAACTATAACAATTTATATAGAAAAGTTTTTTTCTTGCGAAAGCTGTTAAAAATTTGACACTTTCAGATACTCAGGTATTTTTTTTTTTTCTTAATGATTTTGTACTGTTTTGGACTTTTATATGATTTAGTTATCGTTGATATAACTATACTAATTATGCAATAACAAATATGCATATAGTCTTTATATTAAGTTTTTTTTTAAATAAAAATAATTTTTAAAGATACTATAATTCAAATATATAATACAAAAGAAAAGAAAAATAATTGAAAATCCATAATATGCCAATTAACAAATTTTTCGAAAAATAATAATTTCATATTGCAAAACTAATACTACAAAATACTAATAATAAAATTACTTAATATGTATATATATATATACATATATATATATAAGAGGTATGGATCTATTACTAATATTAATTTAAATGAAAATTATAAGCAGGACGTCTTAATGTATTTAACATTCTGTACCAACCTCTCGAGTTGATTCGACCTCTTTACTGTGCATATTAGTGCAAACGATATGCGAAGCTTTTTTTTTGCCCCTTACTGAGCTTAATTTTGCTTTTTTATAAATGTTTATGGTTTTTTGTTTATCACTTTTTGCGTTTTGAGCTTTTATCTCCAGTGCTTTTGAAAAGCTTTCCGCAGCTTTTTTATTTAGAAATATATCATCTTGATTGGCATCAGCGGAATTGGCATTTTTTGAGTCTGTCATTTTATTGTTGGCAAATGTTGTCAATGGAGTGATCACAGAAATTGGTGGCGGTCTTGGTGGTGGTGATGAAGGTGGTGCTGCTGAGGGCGATGGTTGCTTTTGAACAGTTGGCAAAATAGTTTTTCGACGTTTATTTGTATTGATATTGGATGTATGTTTATTATCATTGCTTTGTGGCAATGGACTTTCGTTTGGCATAAAGAGTTTACGTTTCTTAATTGCAACTGGTGGTGTAGCAGTAGCATTTCTATCTTCTTGCAGCACTTGTTCTGTACTGTATACTTCTGAAGGTATATCACAGCTATCACAATTTAATGTGGTAGTTTTAACTGTAACAGTAAGTGGTTCTTTTGGTGTACATTGTGAAAGCATTTCAGAATTCAAGAATTTGCGATGCATTTCTAATTCACTATGTATTGTCGGTGGTAGTAATGATCGCCTGGCAGATTTGTTAATATTTTGTACACGTTGTGAAACGATGTCCATGAGTGTTTTATTAACACTAAGGCGGTTTCCTGGTTGGCGCGACGAGCTAAAAACATTGGCATGTTCATCAATCAATAAATTTCCGTTTGTATTATTGAATTTTTCTTGCACAGGCGTTTTTAGTTCATCGCTTATGGTTGTGTCCAAATGATCATTTGAAACTTCACTTTTCGTACTTAGAAATGATGTATGCGATTCATTTCTAGTTAGTGTTCCAACATTTTCAACTGTTGACATTGGCTCCGAAAAATCACTTTGTGAACTCTGAAAGATTAGTGTCGAACTTGCAAAAGGTGTTAACATCCTTTTCACTAATGTTTTCGATGTTTGCGGTGTAGAGTCACTTTGTGAGCTTTTCGAAGATTCCTTATTTTTGTCTTGAGTAGGTGTTGAGGTCATGAGATCAATATTAGTTGTATCTACTTGCTCACTTTCAATACTTGTAAGTCTCGGTGTATATAATGTACGCCGTTTTTTTATTTTTGGACTTGCCACCGAAATATCAAGGTCTTTTGCTGTGCATGATGTACGTCTTTTTACTTTCTTTTGACTTTTTGGCGTATTCTCTTCTTGCATAGCAGAAATATCCATTTCTTTCGCAATAATTTTTGTTCGGTTATTACCACGACTTGTTGAAGATATACTTTGCTCTAAAGACATAAGACTAATATTTTGTAAAGCCATAATTGCACTTCGCCTAGGTGTTCTGCTTATATTAAGATTATTATATTGGGATGAAAATTGTTTTACATTATCCACCAAATTGGAATCTTCTTGTATATAAGTACGTTTCACTGCACTAGATATGTTTGTAGTTAATACATTTTCGTTTTCTTCCGCCGTTTCAAGATGCGATATAGTATCTTTTATCGCTTCTTCATGTGTGACTGATTTCAAGACATCTAATTCTTTGCGTCTAAGGAATCCCTCCTCACTTGAATAGCTAATTAACTCGGAGAATCTAAAATTTATTTTTTGGAATATCGTACTTGATTTTTACAAAATATCTATTTCTTACTTACTTATCTACAAGTTTAGAGTTTGGTAAATCTTGAGACACATCAGTGGTTAAGACAACATTGTTTGGTGTTTTGTTGTCGAATTTCGATAGGAATCTTGTTAAATCAGTCTAAGCGAAAATAATTTTAATTTTAATAAAAAATTATTTTATAAATGCATGTGAATTATGTTTTAAATAAATTTATAAACCTGTTTCTTTGTTGTTGTCGGTGTACTAATCGCACTTGGGGTCTTCTTAAGATTTTTTGGAGAATTTCTTCTCGGGGTAGAGTCTTTTGATGTTACAGCACGTAAACGTTTATGTATTTCCGAGTCAGGTTGCATAGATTTGATACGCTGAAATGAAAAATAGAAATTAATTTGTTAAATTTATAACAATAATTAGCTTTTATTAATAATACTAGTACAGTTAAAGTTATATTGAACGTTCTGCAATGTTGTTAGGCCCCATGTTTTATATACTTTAGGTTAGGTTGAAGTGGCAGCGTTATGCACAAAAAGCTCACCTAACTCATTAATGCAAGCAATTTCGTTGTAAAACTGCAATAATCAAACTACTCTTAAGAAGTGTATAACTATGCTCTTTAAGGAAGTTTACAAAAAAGTTGATAATAATGTGTTTTAGGCGTAGTAAATTTTCTAAAGTTGTATGGTTAAATATTTTAATGCATATTTCTCTCTCGTTTCACTGTTAAAACGCAATTAATAGCGAAACTAAGTGATAACTAAAGTTGGACACTAATGGGTTAAGCGCAAATAATAGCCCGTTCTGATTACCACGGTTGAGACATCATCCATATACCAAACTTAAAAAACCATCTTAAAGGAAAAAATTGCAAATATCTAGCATATGAACGGTGTATCTTTGAGTATACGTGACTCCCTCATTGTAGTAGAAGAAAAACAATATGACATGTCTATGAATTTGACTATATTCGTAATTTTAAAGGATTACAACTCTGTCAGGTTAGCAAAAAAACGGACCTTTAGGATTTAAAAATTTTTTTTTTAATGGCTTTGACACACAAAATGGACTATAGTTTTCTCCATATCCGCAGAGTCACAGCCCCGACAAAATTCGTGAGTGGATTAAGTCTTAATATATGCTTTTCAAATACACAGCGACCTGTCTGCACCGATGTCACATTTACACTGTAGTTGAAGCAACTGACTAGTATGAATATTGTTGAAATTGGACTATGTTTCATATAAAGTATATTCTCTTCAATAGACCGTTCTTTAAGCGAACAGAAAAGTTGGTTTCAGTGTCATCTTTTATTATATATTTATATTAAATCTTATATAACCTATTTACGAAATCTTTTTTTTTTTAAATTATAAATATTTATAGCTAAACAAAGATTGAATCCTTCTAAGAACTATTCATGTAGTACAATACTATACAATAAGTACAATCAAATAACCAACTAAAAAGTAATTAAATATTATTAATGCAGATATTCAAATGTGTTATCCGATCTATATATTAAGCGTTTTAACACACGTATAGAAATATTGATTTTCGCTGGTTAACCTATTAAACCAATTGTAAATGTCAACAATGACAGCTCCATCCGTGGTTACTAAGTTAACACTGTATTCAAGCTGTTTTAACACATTGATAAAAATTATGTTGACTATTGTTAGTATTAATCTGCATGGTTTGGTTTAATCCTAATTTGCTATCCAGAACTTCAGTCTCTAATTAAGCTTAGCAGACTGCAGATCCGTCGCCATCATAGGTCCATAACCGTAATTACAAGCCTTCTGTGTATCACCGGCATACTGTTCAGTGCTGAGATTTGCATTCAACAACTCAATCAAGCATAGAAAGCTTACATATGAACACAGGTGTATAAACTTTATCATTGCATGTATCCCTTACCGCCGCGTTGATGTAAACGGATCGGCCACTGCTCCACGCATTAAGACAGTACCTCCCTATTGTTAATTTGATAAGCCATTTTGGCAAATTCATATTCGACCGATATCGTCAACATAATAATATATTTCTGCCAATGCAATTTTTTTGAAGGAGTTAATACAGTTTCTAAGATTCACGTTTGTGTACCTTTCCGGTTTGTAGTATGGTATGTTTGGCTTTAGTTTTACCTAGGGCATCACAGTTTAAGGTTTTAAGGGTCAATTGACAGATATTGAAGTTAGATAATTTTTTAAAGTAATTCTTTCTTAATCTAATCTAATGGTCAACTATTCAAAACAATTTTTTGTTATAGATATAAAATATATTTTATTAATATAAAATATTTATTAAATAAATATTTATTTTATTTGCTCAAATTGTATTTATTTTCTAGAATTAAATATCTTCACGATTAGTCATCGCTTCTAATTTGACAGGCATGAGTTCTAAGCCTGGCACTTGCAGTTCAAACAAATTATATACGGACTATAAACTAATAAAAAAAATTCGAATATTTCCTAAGATCACTGATGATGAAAACTTAGCAATACTCGAAATAGCGTTGTATGGTTAGCCAAACTTCCATAAATTAACTAAAATTTCTGTTGTTGTCTTTTAATTACTATTTGAACCCTTTTAACTTTTAAATAGTTTCTTTTCTTCATAGGACACGTCACTTTCGGTAAAAAAAATTAATAATTAAATTCCTTTAATTTTTCTTCCTGTTTGTTGTTTAGATTAATATAGATTAGGGCCCTAAAAAGAAGTACTATTGCTTTCTCAGGTGTAGAAAGTTATAATTAGTTTTAATTTAAATATATATGTCCTTAATTAATTTTACACCCTAGCACTATAATTTCCTAGACAAAACTATGAAAAAGATAAGTTAGTTAATCTACAAATTGTTTGTGATTAAAATGGGGGAGTATACTGCATGTAAAACGATGCTAGACATTTAATTCAAAGTGATAAGAATGACATTTGATAATATTTGTTTTTTGTGACAAGTTCATAATTACTGTTGACACTACAGTTGGTCATATAAATATTTGCGTAAATCAAAAATTTTTTTTATAGTTTCGATCAATCAGTAATCATCAATTTTTTAACTTTACCATCAATGCAACAAAGTATAAATCAAAATAACAAAGTTTGATCATAAAAGACTTATTAAATTACATAGGAAATATTTCGACGATGCTTCGTCCAACCACTTTTGACGTTCAGATAAGCTAGCGAAGTTTCGTGGTGATCTAACTTTTCATTCAAATTGAATTAGTCCATCAAAATTGTTATTCCTTTTTTAATTTGGAATTTTTTAAGCATTTATTTAGTTAATCAAATCAATAGAATTAACGCTTCTAAAATGTAAGGTGCTACAAAAGCATCTTTTATGTTGATCTGTATCTAGATATCCTAATTTCACTTCAGTAGTGTTTAGACGCATCATCACTGAGGTATTACCGATGCGATTAAATACTTTTTCTTATGATTGGATTTTGTTAACCCATTTAAACTTAATATAGTTACTGATCAAATAGATGGAAAGAAATATAAGAGATTAAATATGAGAATTTTTAATGTATTTGGATGTACTATATTCTGCAGATCTTTAACCCTTTTGGTTATGAAAAAACTTTTATATATATATACAATATATATGATAATAATATAATATATATAATTGTTTAATATGATACATACATTGTGACCGAAAAGCTTTCGGAAATTCTCATTTAAAATTCGCGCGCTGTATATTTTTCGATATTTTAAGTTTTATGTAGTTGGCACGACTGTCCTAATTACTATGCCAAAAAATGAGCGCGCAATCTGTCGGACAGTTCGTTTACGGCAGCTGTTGAAACCAGTTCACCTCAGTAGTGCGTTGCGAAAAAAACAATGGAAAAAAATATTGAACAAAGAGTTTGCATCAAATTTTGTTTTTCGAACGAAATTTCGTGTGCAGAATCGTTGCGAATGCTACAAAAGGCTTATGGGGAATCAGTTTTATCGAAAACTCAAGTTTATGAGTGGTACAAAGCCTTTCAGGACTGTCGTACGACCGTCGAAGACATGCCGCGTTCTGGACGACCTTCGACCTCTACCACCGACGAAAACATTGAAAAGGCAAAGGAAATCGTGTTCAAAAATCCTCATGTGAGTGTTAGAGAGATAGCACGAGAGCTAGGCATCGGTCGTGAGATGGCTCGTTTGATTTTGGTGGACAATTTGTGTATGCGACGTGTCAACGCCCGGCTTGTTCCGATTCACCTCAATTTGTTCAACATTATCAACGATTTTAAGGCCAAACATTCAATAAATACCATCGAACAGCCACCGTATTCACCTGATCTTGCACCGTGTGACTTTTTCCTGTTTCCCAACCTCAAATTACCACTCAGAGGAACGCGTTTTGAATCCATAGAAGACGTAAAACAGAATTCGCAGAGGGAACTCAAAGCCATACCGGAAAGCGCCTATAAAAAATGTTTGGATGATTGGAAAGAAACGTTGGCAATTTGTGTATCGCTTTCTAATGGAGCATATTTTGAAGGAGATAAAATAAATATTGATGAAGATTAAGAATTTTGCGTTTTATTTAAAATTTTCCGGAAACTTTTCGGTCACAATATAATGTATATCATAACATAAAATATAATGTAGATATAAATTTAGTGAAATAAATGAATAATAAAATCTTATAATGACAATAATACATAAAATACTAATCAATCAGCATTTTCTTTCATATATACAGAAAAGGTTAACTTGATAAAATTAATAGAGTGTAGGGTATCTCATAGAATCACCAATTAAATATTTTTTGTTTATATTATCAAAGCAGTCGCAATGTGTCGTTTTGTTAGGTGTTTTTCTTTCAAGCATGCGTCTTGTTTGTTTTTAATTACGTGCTGTTAAGATCGTTCCAAATATTGTTTAATTTAAAATGTTTTGCTTTTCATCACGAAATACAACAGAAATCCGTTCTTTCTTGCTTTTATACTTAAATTTAAGTTACTGCAGTGGAAGGGTTGATTTGCAGTTTGATAGTTAAGTGATTTATATATTAGATGAGTGTTCTTTATTCATTTTTTTTTAAATATTATATTTACGTGTTGCTTGATTTAAAATAATTTTTTAAATTTTAAAGGTTATATTAAGTTATATTGAGTTTAAAATTAGATAATTTTTAAATATATCTAATATAAGAAAATATTATATATATATAATATTAATAATAATATTATAATATAATATATTATTACAATACAATATAAAATTATATTATAATAAAAGTACACAATAATATAAAATTTAGTATAATAAAATAAAAATTATTATTACAATAATTTATATAAAATATAACACAAATTTATATATAAATTTAAGTATGGTATATAATAAAATACACATAAATAAATTTTTAATGTATATTAATTTCTTTTATTTTTTATTCTAAATAATTTGATATTGACTATAAATTTATTTTACGTTATTATTTATATGATATAATATAATAATTAAATTAAATTATATCAGACACAAATTATATTATACAAATAAGTACATGAATATATATATATAAACAACAAATAATATACAACAAAATAAAACGTCAATAAATTTACTTTAGATTATTATGTATATGAATTAAAATTCCATATATGTTGTGTTTACTTTACATTATAAAAAAATGTATATAGTATATAAAGCATATACTACTACTACAAATTTCCTGAACTCATTCTGGAAACTCTTCTAGGGCCTCCATAAGAGTATATATGTAACTTTTAATTTGTATTATATTATACAAATATTTACATAAAAATTTAACACAAATTAATAATGTGTAATTTTTTATTTAAAAAAAAATTATTTATAATTTTATGTGTTAAATAAACGACATCAGTCCAGTAATTATCCAAAAACTTTTTAAAAATTGGTCATAATAAAAATTAATTATCATAAATTAATAATATAAATAATTATAATAAATAATTTAATCACAAAAACCTTATATTAAATTACTATAACCAAAGTTTTTTATGTTAAATATATGTTCAATTATTAAAAATAATTATAACAACTTAATAAAATAAATTATTAGAACAAATAATTTTATTATAAAAGCACTTTGTAAGCATTTTTTTAAATACTATAGCTTATTTTAATACTCTTTGTAATATTAACTATTTTACTGTTATTTTTTATAACATAATTTGTGTCCAATTAAAGATTATTTGTAAATTAAAGATTATTAAAATCAATGATATATTATTAAAACAGATTTTATAATAAATAATTTAATTATTTTAAATACTTTTTGCAATATTATTTAATTTACTGTTTTTTTATAATATACTTTATCCTTTATCCTTGCTCTCATAAAGTATATTATAAAAACACAGTAAATTAAATAATATTGCAAAGAATATTTGAAATGATTAAATTATTTATTATAATAATCTGTTTTAATTATTTTTTATCATTGATTTTAATAATCTATACCTTATTTAAATTACTGTATATTATTTTTTTTTTAATTTAAATAAATAATAGATTAATAAATTTATTAAATTATTAAATAATGTAATTGTTTTAAATACACTTATTTATTATATAATTTATTGTTTTGTTTCTTATAATATAATTAAGTTGTTATAATAATTTATTTGATACCTAACAGAATTAATAAATTTTTTTAAATTATATTTCAGTATAACACGCTTTTATAGGGTGCTTTAAGGCACAAATGCTTACTTTTCCCAGATAAAGTTTACATTTCTAAAAATGCAACCTTGCATAGGATTTTGCAAACGTCTCCACAACACCAAAAAAGAAAAAAAAAAATAACACAAAAAAAAAAAAAGGAAAGCAAGCAACAAAGGCAAAAACAAATCATGAATCAACCAACAATAACGTCACAAGAACATGGCTTAAGTAAATTCTGACATTTGACAAATAGTTTGCCATATTCGTTTTGTGGCTCATTCCGTTGCCGCAAGTCCAATAAGCAGCACAGCAGTGTAGAATAGGCGGGCAACAAACTCTTGTACAACTGACAATCAATCTTCGTTGCTAATTTATTTATTTTTTTTATTAAAATTCATTTAATGAATTAACGGTATTGAGTACAAATTTTTAATTGAAAGAGAAAAGAAACTTTAATAAGAGTTCGAAGCGAATGTAATTAAGAGCGCAGCAGCGGATTAACATATGAATAAGTAAATTCAGATTAACATAAATAAACAAAAATCGGGGAAAAGAGACAATCAATTTGTTTTGTTGTGTATTTAATAAACGTGGCATTTCTTTTTTGTAAAAATATTCAGAAGGTAAACAAAATTAAATAAAAGAAAAAAAATTACACGACATTTTGAATAAAATTATTTTATTTTTTTTTTCTCCTCGTTTTGTATGCAGTCAAGATTTTGTGTAATTTTAATTGATACTCA